GGGGGGGGGGGGGGGAGATAGGATAGAAACAACTCCCTTGAAAAATATTCTAAAATCAGGTCCCCAAAGTCACTTTTGAAAAATGTTGGTCATTGGTCTAATGGATTCTCTCATGGTTACTGTGTACTTATGCAAGTCTACATCCCATGCCTGTTTTTCCAGCTTCTTAGGTAGGATTAATACTGCTTATCCATCTACATACAGCATTCAAAACTTCAGGCATGGAGTGAGACCATAAATTTCTGTGGTCATCCAAAGTCACCCCCACCACCAGACCTAACTCAGCTTCCAGTAGTAGGATTCGTCCTTCAAATGACAAATAGGCCAGCACCAACTGATCCAACCTGTTCAGACTAAGAAGCTTCAGCATTATGCAAAATTCAAAAAATATTTTTTATGACGCACTTTGCCTTCAGACACGGGATTTTATATTTTTCCCTAACTAAGCAACTCAAGACATCCATCTCAGTTCATTTTTATTTTATTATCTGGATGTAGCATATGCAAATTGCTCAAGGGTTATGTCAACACTTTACAAGTTCTAGATTAAAAAACATTAATTTTTCATGCATACATTTGTAGGCTTCTGATGAACAACAGAACTGATCCACTGCTTCACCAATTCACAACCATCACACTGCTCCACATTCAGGTACATTACAGACTCTGCACTCAGTTTAGTTTCTAACATTTGTTGCTTTAGCCTCTTTTCACTTGACTAAAAATAAGAGTGATGTCAGAGACACACATACACAACGCACCATGAGGCTTAACAGAATGTGATGAAGGACCATCTCCGTAACAGAATAAGGAAAGGCAAAGGTACAACTGCCTCTACCATGTAGATGCAACATGTCTCCTGCCATATTCTGTGGCACCATCGATTTACCTAATATGATGGAAATGAGGAACCAAGTAATAATAATTTGGAATAATTAAGAAGTAAAACGTTTTAAATGCAGATTAGAAACAAGCCATTAGCCCATTAAAATGTAGCCTACAGTATCATTCTCAAACCAACAGGAAGAATAAAGTAATTTGGGTCAATTGGAAGAATAAAACCACTTTATAAAAGAAAGCTTATGCCACGTCTAATATTTATTCTCTCTCTATGTTCTTGCACTCAGACACAAATTTGCTTGTTTAAACACACACACCCCAGCAGCAGCAGCAGCCACCCCTTTTGATACATCCATAGAGTCGCTCTGGATATGCTTCCGGTATCACAATCCAGAATGAAGACTGAAAATGTTAGTCTTCAGTGCTTCATATATCCAACAGAAAACCCTAAATTAAGTATGCAAAACTTCATTATTAGAGCCATTTAAAAACCCTCCTATCAGTTCAAGGAAAAAGAGGTTGTGTAAAGTGATGACTGGCTAGCGTGCAACCTCCAGTACAGGAAAATTATACATTTTTATCCACCAAAAAGTGAGTCTTCCGAAATGTATCTTAAGGTCTTGAGGACCAGCTCCATCTGCCTGGCTCATCTTGAGGCGGATTAGTCACACTGCTCCCAAGTCAATGAACAGTTCTATTGACTTCCATGGACTGCACACAGTATCAAGCATTATTCAGTGTGGAAGCAAACAGGTAACAGAATCAAGCCTGGAATAATTATTCAAACAAGTGCTGACACATAGTTTAAAGTGCCCTGTGCAAAGCAAAATTTATTTGCTCTGTAACATGGTAGGAATAAAGAGTTCTCAACACTTCATGCCTTGCTCTCCAAAAACAGTAATGAATGAACAGAACACACGCACAGGTCAAACACATTCATTAAAAATAGATACAGGTCAGTCAAGATGGCAAGATTTATAGTCCCTTGGCTAGGTAGGTTTTTTTTTTATCTGTTGGGGGGGAAAAAAAACTACTAAAAAGAGTTTACATATTGCATAAAACATGCAGCACACACACCTCCCTAATGCAGCTGGGTAAGATTTTTCCTCTGACAGATGCAGAGCAGCAAAACAATTAACAAAACAGCAGAAAGCCAGGGACTGTGGGAAATTTGCTATGGTTGACTATGCCAATCAGTTTGGTCGGTCTGGAGGCCAGAAGGTGGGAGAGCTCAGTGCAGTTGTCCTTTTCAAGAAGTCAGATCTTTCGGCAGCCTGACTACACTTGCTAACCCCAAGAAAACACGCTCTCTGCTTGCTCCCTTTTGCCTCAGCACAGGCTGTCAGGACAGCAGAGGGACATATAGGGCAGGGAATCCCAACCAGGGTGCTGGGGCACCCTGGAGTGCTTTGAGATCCTTTCAAGGGTGCCGAAGGATACCATGCAACAACAGCACTGTTAGGAGATAAGATAAACCCCAAGACTGCAAAGAGGACTCAGCCAGGTGTGCTGTGACACCCTAGGGTGCCTGGAGATCTTTTCAAGGGCACCATGGGTTGCTACACAACACTAGTGCTGTCAGGTGAGCAAAGGTGACCACAACTCACAAGACAAACCCAGAGATTGCAGAGAGGGCTCCATGGGGTTAAAGCCACCCAACCATCCCCAGTTCTCAGCAACAAGAGAAAGACACTGGTATTTCCCAGCTGCCAAAACCCCGGAGAGAAAACAAAATAGTGGCATGGTCCGAGGGGAGCATGGAAGCTATCGAGGGGCACCTTCAGCCTTCCAAACGGCAGGAGGCGCCCCTGGGCAGAGAGGCGGGGGCAGCTGAGAAGCCAGGGCACAGTGAAGGGGGTGCTACTCACACGGTGAAGTGGTAGACAAAGCACTTCCAGCCCGTGGGTCTCTCCAGAAAGTTATAGACCCTGCCCTGAAGGTTGCTGCGGCTCAGCAGAGGTCTGCGGATGCTGTAGATGGAGACGCGGGGGTCCAGGTTGAGCGGCGCCGGGGTCACCACCACCACGTCGCTGTGGAGCTGGCGGTCGGGGCCGTCGCGGGCCCCCAGCGGGCAGGCGGAGCCCTGGCCCTGGCCCGGGTCGCGGGCGGCGGGGATGGGCGC